TAAAATTTCTGTCTCATTTATTTCCTTTATGTTTTAACCCCTTCTCTCCACATTTCTTGTACTGTAATAATTTCTACAGATAATGCTGTTGTTGTTAAGGGCTGTTGAGTCAGTCCTGTCTCATGGCCACCCTGTATAGAGTTTCCTAGAAGCAGCTGGTAAGTTTGAACCACCGACCTTGTGATTCAAGCTGTCGTTAGGTCCAGCGCATTATCCTGCAACATCATACCAGGGCTCCTCTAGAGCCAGTGGTGGTGGTGGTTATGTGCCGTGGAGTCGGTTCCGACTCATAGCGACCCTGTACAGGGTTTCCGAGCCAGTACTCAGGTAATAATCACAAATGTGTTGCTGGTTGTTGTTGTTAGTTACTGTCAATTCTGACACATAACAACTCCTTATGACAGTAGAATTTGCACACAGTTTTCTAGAATGTAATCTATGGAAGGAGCCCTAGTGGCACAGTGATTAAGTGCTTGGCTGCTCATCCAAAAGTCAGGGGTTAGAAGCACCAACTACTCCATGAGAGAAAGATGTGGCAATTGCTTCTGTAAAGACTACACTCTTGACTCCTAGGGAAGGAGCAGTTCTCCTATAGGGTCCCTAAGAGCCAGAATACACTCGCCTACAGTGGGTTTCGTTTGACTTTACATTTACGGGAGCAGGTCCCCCGCCTTTCTCTTGGGGAGCTGCTGCCAACCTTTCACTTCCCGATAGCAGTTCAGAGCTTAACCAAGACACCAACAGGGCTTCTGATTTTATACATACAGATATCCCCTGCTTTTCAAAAGTCCACTTTCCACCACTTCACACTGATGAAAGACCTACACTAGGGCCTGTCTACTACCCAAAAGAAACTCAGAGAGGATTTTCACGTTTACGAAGAAAAGGGGGAAAGTGGAGCTAGCGTGGTCAGCATTTGTCTTGCAGTGAACAGTTAGAGGCAGTGACACCGAGCAGCATGTGGCGCCACCAAGCTCCTTCTCCTGGAACTACACTCAGCATCTCACTATCAAGCTGCCATGGCTCTGAACTGCATGTGTGACCATTCTCCATTAAGGCTTAATCTGTTACCTGGCATGATCTGATAGGTGGTTTTTAGGTTTGGGAACTCTCAACAATCTTTCCCTTATAAATCAAGAGTAATTGCTTCTTAGCTTTACGCCATTTCAGCTTATGAACGATTTGAAAGGAATACTCTTTCTATGTTGTTGTAGGTGCCATAGAGTCAGTGCAGAGTAAAAGCCCTCCTATGTGCAACAGAGCAAAACACTGGCCAGTCCTGCACCATCCACACAGTCCATTATGTGAGAGCAAGAATTCTACACCTGGATATTGAACTGGTCACACCTTATACGTTTTCACTTACAATCTCTGTCACTCTTCTAAATAAAGTGCAAATGTAGCTTTGTTCTTTTTTTGTGGAATAAATAAATTTAAAAACATAGTTGTGAACGCCCAAGGCTTTTCTGTTTTTCAAACAACACGAATTATTATGTATAGCTTTACAATTATGTAGCCAGATAAAGAGGCCCATATTATTGCTGGTTTTTGAAACTCATCAAAAGTTTCCTCCTGCATAATCAACACATTTTAAAGGCAAAGCTATTTAGGTTACTAGCTACTTCAGCATTTGGACAGAGGCTAGACTTTCCTTTTAGACAGACTCTAAGGAGCTCTGGTAGCGTAGTGGTTACGAATCGGGCTGCGAACCTTAAGGTCAGCAGTTCGAAACTACCAGCTGCTCCGCGGGAGAAAGATGA